TAGTACGTGTGACCCAACCAATGTGCAGTTCGACCCGCAGTTGTCCTCCGCGACATGGTCCATGCCAATTAGCGATTGCCAAGTTTACCAGGGGATTTTAACGCGCGCGTCGGGTTTGACAACACGGAGTGCACAAGTAACTGGGCTGCATGATGTTGGCCTAGCCCACGGTGTGCCAATCGTGTAGTGACAATAATGAACAGTCAACTCGTTTCGGGTACTTGCGATATTGCTATTTGAATATGGTCTCTCAGTAGGCATAGGGGTCCCGTGACTGTTCGCAATCTCGGTGACAAGTAAATCCGGGACCAGATGCCGCCAACTATATAATCCTAAACCCATGCAATATCCTCCTGCCATCATCGGTTATACAATGAATGTTCCCTCTATGCTAATTTCTGGGGAGGCGTGAGCTGGGGTTTTAATGAAGACACATCTTGATGACGTCGGCTCCACTGGTCCAGCCAGTAGCAAGTGGCATCATCTGGAAGAGCAGTTGACCGCTACTGTTAAAGGAGTGACGGAGTGTGCAGACTTTAGTAGACCCGATGTGTTCAGTGACAACATCGTGCTTATCGATGCACTGGTGTCAAAGAAGCAAACAGCATTTGCTACACGCGGAGGATCCCGGATAAGCGGACAAGATGGGTAAGTTCCGCAAGGTGCGCGTGTGGTGACTACAGAAGCCGTTCGCGAGAAGAATGTATAATGAACAGAGATGATGTAGCAGCTAAACCCAACATTGAGTGTCACAAGAGTAGGGGATATATGACTACTTAAAATCATTGTATGGCCGCACATTGCAACCACTGAAGATACCAGTGGGTAGAATGATCAGCGCATCCTGCAGACCGTCCACTGGTTGACTGGGACACGTTGCACGGGATACAACAGAAGGTGAAGAAAAAATCCACTGACAAGAACAGAAAAGGTAGGCAAAGTACCAACAATTATCGTGTCACCAAATTGTTCAGCTGCATGGGAAAGCTGATGATCCGGATCATGCTCAAGCCATGAGTCAAACGTTGTTAAATAACAACGTGGATCTCACTCAGGCCGAGCCAATATGGGTATGGTATTCGCAGCTAATCGCCTGCAGAAGTGGTGCGAACGCAGCTCGCCACTGCGCTCACTGTTATCCACTTAACCGACACGTTAAGCACAGTGAGCTCTGCGGCGCTATGGCCGGTTAGAGTTAAGTTTGTATATCTCAGGAAGTTTCCTTTAATTGTGTGTACATAGTGGTATTTGGATTAGGGTGCAAATTTGTGTACAAAGCTCGGATGAGTTTGTAGTTGTTTATGGTGCGAAGCATGGCTGCGTCTCAGCCAATACTCGTATCAACCCCAACTGTCGTGTGTGACGTGAAAAGCGCCGGATAGAGCTGCTAAACATTCACATTTTCGAAGTGAGAAGCATCGTAAGCGAGATAACTATTCAGATGTCATTTTTTGTTGCCGATGGCTGCGTGTTATTCGCACACGGTGAGGATGTGATGCAATGCGTAACGGCAGCACTGGCATCAACAGTGTTAAAATTCTGGCAGATCATAAACACAGATAAGACAGAACACTCATTTCGGCAACCGGCGATAACAGAATCCACTGGTTGCCTGAAAATATGAATTAATGACGAAGTATTACAGAACCAGTCAAATTCTATATCAGAAATCAGCTGTCAAAGAACTTTCGGATACACTGTGAGCTCCGCGCTCGTATGCCAAAGATAGCGCTGTTTTCAGTAAGGTGGAATAGTAGGTGCAGAAGAGTCGTCATGTAACCACGAGAGTAAAACGCAAGTCAATGATACTGTTATCTCCGCTACGGCAGTGAATACTGTATTATAAAGCAAGCAGAAATGAATTCTCTACAACTCTTTCGAAACATGGTGAAAAACGTTATAAAAAATGCCAACCGTGAATATCGTTGTCGTTCTCATATAACATAAAATATCTCACACATGATACTGCATGACTCACAAATGTGATTTATCATCGTAAGTGTGCAATCGTTCTCTGAATCGAATAGTGGTAAAATATAAATCTAACAACGTTTTGAACTGTTGTACAGATGATGCCTCAATCACATGTTCAGGTAAACTGTTCCAAATGTTTACCACTCTCTGTTCGAAGCACAGTGGGTGGGGAACACATTTCACATCCTGCACGACTAGTTTGTATCTGTGTCCGCGTGTGCTGCATGGCCCTCGTAAGTACAGCATTGGCCTTAGCATTGGGAAGTCACCGAAATGTAGAATACGGTAGGTCATAATGAGGTCGACTCGCATCCGACGGTAGGACAAAGTGTAGAGTCCTAGTTTCTCGCGCCGGTCTTCATACCTCAAGTCACGTAAACTCGAGATAATCCTGGTAGCAACGTGTTGGACCCGTCCGATCTTTTGTGCCTCGCCTCGGGTAATCGGAAAGTAGGCGGGCGAACCGTACTCTAGCATTGGTCTAATGATAGAAGAGAAAAGGCGAGTGGCAACCTCTTCAGACCATGTGCCGAAGCTACGTTTGAGCGTCAAGAGCATGCGCAGTCCGTTACGATATAGCCTGTTCGTGTTGTCCACGGACTTCAAATCGTAACGTGAAAGTACACCTAGGTCCTTCACGGAGGGTGTGGGAAATGGCGGTTGACTGTCAAGGGTGTAGGTTCGGCCATTAGCACCCAGGCTCATAAATACAGACTTGGCTGGGTTGACCGGGAGAAGAACTTCTGCAGACCATGTGGACAGGCGGTTGAGGTCTTGCTGAAGTTGGCCACATTCATCGGGAGCGTCAATTTCTCTCCAAATCTTCATGTCGTCCGCAAACAAGGTACACGGCGACCGGCGAAGCTGCGGCAGATCGTTGATGTGGATCAGGAACAGAGTGGGCCCCAGCACAATGCCTTGAGGCACGCCACTTGTAGAGGGGTACCAGTCAGTTAGATGGTCGTCCACCTGTACCCTCCACTTTCGTCCAACAAGAAAGTCGCGGATCCACCGGCGCAGTGAGCCACCGACACCACACATTCTGAGTTTGTGAAGGAGAACCTCATGGTTGACTTTGTCGAACGCTTTACTGAAATCGATGAATATCACGTCGAGGGACTTCCCCTATATGTTGTGTAATTCGCCATATTGAAGGACTCTCTGCGCTTAAAGCCGTACCGGCTGGTTGAATAGATCATTTGACACTGAAGTACTTCGTAGGAGTACCATGCACGGACTGGACAGTATGTCGCTATTGCGACATATCAGACGATTTGGTAATATTTGTCGAATGGATGCGATAAGAATACCAAAAGATGATGCGCAGACATGCAGAAACTGCGGGCACAAAAGCATAGTGGGTTGCCGTGGCTCAATGTTAATTTCAGGTGCTAGGAAGAAATGGCAGTGTATGCTCGACTATGGAGAGACAACATCATTAATGCAATCGCAAGTATGCGCGATAAAGCCTACCATAGTGATCAAAAACACCCAGCACGCAAGTGATAGATGAGAATGGACATGAGCCGATCATTAATGATGTACATGCGACCGTGCGTGCCTCCACTAGGCAAGCTATCAATGTAGTCACGAGGAGCCAATGTCAAAGACGCGGCGGATGAATTAAGTGAGTAAGTTTCAGTGCATCTGAACAACTGTGCTCCCAGCATGATGAACCATGCAGACATTGTGGATATGTTGACACTGTGCCACATCGTCAATACAATCAGACTTGACTTGTAAACCAGACATGTGTCGCATGATTTGACGTTTATTCCCACTTGAGATACCAGGTCTGGTGCGCTGGATGTGGTACCCATTTGTCCGATGAAGCCATTTCAATCGCTGGCCCAGGTTGAGTGCTAATCGTGGCTGGAGGATACAAGGTGCATGGTACTCGTGCAAGTGCTATGTTCAAAGCGTGGTCATACAACGGAACGAGGTAAGGGCAAACCAGCGCGACGTGAACCTTTAGTACGCATGTTTTCCTCAAAGCCACCTGGCTGATGTGACTCCAATCCGAGGATTTAAAGTCTTATTCCATTTGACTGTGTACAGTATATGGGGTAACATGGAAATTGGAATTATGGCGAGTATAGCATCCGGTGTCGATAAATGGTGACTAAAGGGTAGCAAATAAAACAGGATACAGAAGTACATCAATGAGGATAGAGCAAGATAGATCTGCACAAGTTCAGCTGATCACTTGGGATCTGCGGGTGATGGAGCCACTGTAGCCACGGAGACTCATGAATAGGCAATCGGTTTGCGCTTCACGCTCATACCGTGTGCGAGTGTCAGCCAATCGATATACCCCTACGAACCGGTCCATTTTCCCGTTCCGTTGTTAGTCCAACAGTCTTGAAGTGCATACTGGAAAATACGAACTCGGTAGTGGTATGCGAGCACATAAAGCCGCATAAGAAGATCAGTTTTAAGATGACTCAGATGGCGAGTACGGTGATGGAATGACCTCTATACTTAGGATCTAGCCGTGGGTACAACGGGAGCTTATTGACTGCCGAGACACAGGGCACGGTCATGGTCTTGGCACATAACCTGCTAACTCGAGTTCAGCATATGTGCTTTATCGATTCTATATGTTGCACAATCATTCTACGTATTTCCTATTTTTTGACCGAATTCAGTTGAGTTGGACAATCCGAGAATGAGAGGATAAAGAAACGAATGCATCTTGCAGTTCGAATAAACAAATGCATTGGTGAGCCAGAGTATGCAAATCTGCATCGACAGAATTTGTGATTAGCACACACCTCAGTCAGAATTCGCATCATAGTGAAACTGAACAGATGATTTTATCACATCACTGAATTTGTATGCATTCACTCATGCGAGAGCACGAAGTAGAAGTTGTACTAATTCGTCCGGCCCATCGCGTGGAGTCAGCATCTTACGACGTCGAAGAATATACCATTTAGTCAATTGTTTGGATACACCGAAGCAAAAAAACGATATGCAATAGGCCATTATAAAGGGGTGTAAAGACATGAAGGTCGTGGTGTTACCTGTAGATCACACGGACTTTGTGTAGAAATGGGCACAGAGAGGTACATAAATGTGTCGAAGGTGGCAGATTCCCTTGAACAGACTTGACAGCAAACAGTGGATAACAGCTGGCCCTGATGTCGGAAAAGAGAATGCAAAGATTTTCACCACGGGGTACATAAAAGATGGAGTGGGTAAAACTGTGACAAGAATCTGAGGATTGTTGGGACATGAAGATGATAAAAGGAGCTAGTAATGTCAAGGAAGGCGTACCGGAGTAAAAATTACACGTTCTTGTGAAACGAAAATACAATTGGATGTAGGGCTAGGGTGTATAATTCATGTTTCTAACGCCTCTTTTACATCCAGTACTGATGGTGTTTCCCTAGATTAGCTACAGAAGAGCAAACGTTGTCACGATCTCGTCGATTCAAGCATTCAATATCGCGACAAAGCAAGAATTTACTAATAGCCCCTCCAGATAGACGCTAAAACCGATGAGAAGAGTCCTACCAAAATGCACCGAATACATTGTTGTCAATTCGAATAAGCGTGAGGTGTCTACTTAGGTAGTTAGTTGTCAATAGTATACCAGTACCCGGTATCCAAGGTTCGCTGCTACGCAACCACTAGCGGTAACTTATGAGGTGCAATCCAAACGTCGGCCGGTCGTATTAATCCTCAGATCCAAGATGATGAACGTAATCAGTGGGGAGGATCGTGCAAGTAACCAGACTTAGGTATCTGGTCAAATGTTAGGTTGGTTCATTTAAAATATACAACCCAACCGACTATCAGCAGTGGAGAAAACGACGCTTAGTCGAGAGATTGAATATGTAATGATTCCTCGCTTGAACCAGTGTCGTCACGTGGAAATTGTATCGCCGCTCACATGGTACCACGGATATGGTAAGAAAGTAGACGACCAATACAAACGAAGCACTGGAGACTGACTCAGGAAAATTCTTCAAATGGTATAATCAATCGGAAGAAAAGGTCTGGGATGGGAGAATTAATGTTAGCCAAGACAGGAAGTGTAAGTAATCAAGGTAACTCACCTGAAAAGTACTAACGATGATCGACTTGTTTCTACGGAGGTATTCATTCCATGCTATTGAGGCGTGCTGCAACCGGTCAACTTTGCGCGCATCTACGTCTGAGGTGTTCGCGGTGCTCGCTGCAGACGAGCCCTGAAAAGAGATTCCATGAGAAAAAAGTACACTGTTACGCACGTAATGCGCTAAGCAGACGAACGGGGGACTAGAAAGCAGGGAACTGTATAGAAAGATGAAACATAGATTGCCGAAAACAACACAAGGAAGCTTCGAAATGGGTGACTGAGAGAATAAAAATTTAATTTCGGTAAGTGAAAATAAAAGTAAAGCTAGTTGGTTGGATGCAGTTTCCGTGGGTCAACATCAATGGAAGCGGATAAAGCACGCGTGATCAAAAATCGTGTGGAAAATTGCTGGGATTGCATTAGCCACTTTCAGTTTGCATGCAAACTGTTGACAAAGTTACAAACTAAAGTGGAGAACCGGATCATTTGAAAAATGTGGGGTGAAGCGCCCCATCTGTACAGTGTGTTTAGAAGAACCAAATAGGAGTAATCTATGGATGACAGAATGTCGAATGACAACTAACCCGGAGACGATGTTGTAACTGTCTCGCTTGCCTCACAAGACGAAGTAGGCAATCGGGTATTTAATAATGCGAACAATCGAACGAAATGGTTCAAGATCCACGACCAAAGGTGTTACCACAATTATGTGCAACGGCTTGTTAGAGGCAACTGATTTTCGTGTGTAGCTAGTAAGATTCAAGTCAAATCAAGTCAAGAAAGTGCTTTATGCACGCAGAATGGGTAAATATTAAGCGATGCAGCATGATATAAATGAAATCCAAAAACGTGGATCAATACATAAAAACAATACCATCATAGCATAATCCAGTTTGTTAATTTTTGGACAACTTTGTTTGGTCTAGCAAAGTCGCGCTAGTCAAGGGTTAACTTGCAAAAACCAACATGCATGGACCCAGGTATACAAAAAAGTCAGTTTTGACACACCAATTCATCGCGACAAATATTTTAACGAAGTGGAGATTAATCTGAAGTACTTGCACAACAGACGAGAAAGAATCACTGGTGAGCAGTACGTCCAATGTGGAAAAACACAGGCATTGACAAAGCGAAGTATCTAATTATGGGTGAAAGAGGAAGATCACAGGTGTGAGGTGTAAAGCGATAATTTTCGGACTTCTGAGAACGTTTCGTTTATACGGTGTAACCAAGAAAAATCGCTGCGAAGCATGACACCTAAGTACTTTACCGGTGTGGAAGGGTACAACCCATTCGCCAGCGGTGTGGAGTTCCGAGCGCCGCTGGAGAAGCTGTTGGTATCGATTTCCTTGTTGCAGTGAAAAAACGACATCACTGCATTTCGAGACGTTAAGCAATCTGATTGAAGAGGTGGTGATTGATTGATGGACACCAAGGACAATGTTACCAGCGTACTTCAGCAGGGTCACCTTACCAGGGAGCGGTATTGAGCTGACATAACTGGAAAATAGAAATGGTGACAGAATAGCTCCTTGAGAAACCGGTATTTGTGATCTTTGGTGAGAAATTGCTGCCTCCAAGTCGGGTAACCTGAGTACGACTGGTAGAATGATCACTTAACACAAGGACGATGAAAGGACGTTTTCCAGCACTGAGTAGATCTTCCAACAGCAATTCCCAGTTTACGCAACCGAATGCGTTGCTGTAGTCCGGAAAACAGACTCGGGTGAACTTGATTCTATTGCCTAGTGATGACAGAACCAAGTGCACAAGACAGGCTACGGCGTCTTGGGCTGACCTCGAAATGCGGTAGGCAAATTGAAGAGAATTATTTGATCATTGTTGTGTCAACATCCTCACAAGAACGACTTTTTCGAACACTCTTAAGGCTACCGAAGTACAAGCAATTGGTCGATATTTACTTGAGCCCTTGTTGGGCATTGGTGTGAGATTGACGACTCTGCAGCAGTCGGCAATTTTCCGCTGTCGAATGCATAATGTTGTAAAGTAGTCAGAGGTATGGCCGGAGATTTAGCACATTGTTTGAATACAACGAGAGACAGGCTTGCTGGACCACTTGCTGTCTCAGCGACTTGTGTACCGTACCACTGTTGATGGGGATCTGTGAGTCTGCTGACAAGTTAGGTTGTGAAAAGGATGATTCAGAGATCAGATTGTTGTAGCAGTTGCAGGTCATGCTCTAGTTAGCCCACATCTACGTTGGAGGTAGATGTACTTCGAGTAGGCCCGCTTAGTTGTTTTAACATCTTCCAGAGTTCACTACAGCTACTATTCCCAAGTATAACTTGAACGTACAGGTTGAGACGGCGCAACTCCTCCATTATAAAGACAGTGAGTGACTTAACTGTTATCTGTTCCTTTGAAGGCTTTCTCCTTTTGTCTACGCAGCCGCAACAAGTGAAAGGAAGAGAATCTTGCCTCACGGATATACAGAGTCAGCAAAATGGTCAGTAAATGTCAAAACAAAAGTTCAGATAGCTTGTCAACTGATAGCAATATATCCGTGTCAAAAATTAAACTGAAGTTAGTGGAGAATAACATTTCCTGTAGTAGGTCTATATTCTGTGCGGGACACTGCTTCCAATTGAAGTTGCGATTGTTGCAACGAGTAGCCCCCTTGTGGTTTGTCTTAGAGTATATCCCACAGGACACACTTAATTGTTGAGTGACCAAAGCTGCCCAATGGCGCCCACTTACATACACAGAGCAGTTCGATGACGTTAACAAATAATAGATTAGGAGTCGCATAGAATCTAGTGGGACAATCTACCATGTTTTGAAGTCCAAGACTTGTGAGAAAAACGGTATCAAATCTGTTAAAATCACCAGCGAAAATTACATAGGGAACAATCTAAAGCCGCAGTAAATTCATCGTAAAATGCCTCAGCTTCAAGTTTCGGACAGATGTGAGCAAAGTAGAAGTTAGGTAGTAAGAATGAGCGGCTTGCACTGATACATGTTGGCGTGCACCTTACAACTAAAGTACTAATACGTTGGGAAGAGAAGCAAAACAAAATTTTTGTAGATACGCACCAGAAAGCGTTGGCATAAATGATGACTCCACCGCCGCGGTTTTACGGTAAGCGCAAGAGCGGTCGACCTGATGACATTTGAACCCTTCCATGAATACAAGTGAGTCATCCATGTCCTCGCAAAGCCAGGTCTCAAGTAGCAAAATGTACCTAGCTACGAATATTCTCGGGAGCTGATGGTACTTGTTAGTTAATCTATTTTCCCTAAAAGCGAGTGGATGTCTGAGGCAAGCAAGAGAGGTATGCTTCCTACTTTTTTCTTCCGAAGAGCAACCTTCCATCGAGCGCGGCGTTTTCTTGCATGATTATTGCGCTTCTTGGAAATCCGTTTCAATTTATTCCTTATAACGTGGCCGTTGGAAAAGGCACAGCTTGTGAGCGCGGAATCACATAGCGATTTCAAAATATCCCTTGTATAGTTCAACGTCAGAATGATAGTAGAAAAGTTAAGATACGATAGTTGGTATGAGGCCAAGCCGGCCCATAGCCTAGAAGTAACGAACTCATCCCGTAACCTTGCGACGCGGGTTCGAGCCTGCGTAGAGGCAGGGCGATCCTCGTAGTATACTTAGCCCACATGCGACCGGTGGTGGTTGCGCGGCAGCGAAGCATCGGTACTGCGTACCGGAGTACTGCTGATGCCTGCCCATGAGGCCAAAAGTGTGTGTTAAAATCCCAGAGAAAGGAATCGTAGAGCACGGCCAAATTTGGAAACCCCGCCAAAAGAGATATCGGCGGTAAGATCAAGTCGCGTGGGTACCGCTCTACTGAACAGGCCGTTGAGTAGCAACTCGAGGTTGGCAGTCACTCTAATTATCAGTGTCTTATGAAGATATCGGAGCTACAGAAGCTGGGAGTGACGAAAAAACCCTCCGATTATGAAGTCAGGCGAACAGATCCTAGCTAAGAAATCGAACACAGCAAACAAGGGACACCAAAAACCCGACATGCTGCTCCAGAAGAGCGTCACTAGCATGAGTATCTTGCGTCCTGTCACCGTACTCAGTACTCATCATCAAAGAGTGCCTGAGATACCACTGATCTGGTTTGATCTAAATAAACAATGTTGCCAAGTAAAGACCACTGCAGTAAAAAAAACTTCTATAAAACTATGCATGCGTGCAGAGCGTCGATGCCGTCACATGTCTTTTGCGACGGATAATTTCGCTCCTTATCCAAAAATACGGCTTTTTCACGCTAGAATTCCGATGTCTTTTTGAGTCTTGAAACGAGGTGTACTAGCTGCACACCCGCTTCAAATTAGTTCAAAGAGAAAAAACCGCTCGGCTGGATGCACAGAATGCTTTTGAAAGACGCTCGCTGCTGTTTCAAGTGACAATCTGTGGCCACACAAAAAGATAGACACCTTAGCTACCTACAAAATCAGAGAGCGATGAACTCATGGTTGGCTGCGTTCAAAAATCGAAAAGGCAACATCTTAATGAGGCGGTCCGTCACGTAACAACCCCAACCATCAAGTATAAAATCATCGAAAGGAATTTCGACCTGTCTGAAATGCCGTGGATGCGGGTCGCTGTACCAGCTGGATCAGACACTATTTATGCCCAAATGATGTCGGTGACTGGACTCGCCAGCAAGGCAAAACAATCATGTATCCAGGATACACTACAGTTCAGCTGAACAACTACGGTTAGGGTATCGAAGTGCAGTGGATCCAGCTGCAACGACTCACGTGGCCAAAATGGCGACAAACACCAACGGCAAGAAAGTGATGGTGAACGCAAATAAAATACGAAGAAATTGAATCAGGAGAGAAAAGCGCTAAACTAATCGAGATGAACTGAAAATTGAGAGCTAGACGCAATAAATCGTAAGCATGAACGCCAATGACCGCGCCGTGTCTGATAGGGTCTCCAATCACTGGAGTGGGCCGTCCCGGGGTTTATCCACGGATACGTCATACAACTGCTCGAGCGAGTCTCTCGTTTTAGTTTCTGCATGCCATTATGCCAGGTCATACACTGGCTAGCTCGAGGTTCCGCCTAACTTAGTGTAGCCACGGCGAATAATGCACGCTGGGGAAGCCGGTTGACGGGAATACGGAAGATGTGACTTTGACATCGTAAGAGGTTGAGCTTTAGTATACTCTCCAGTGAGGCATCAGAAGGCTTCTCGCCAAACACCGACTGGCGAACTTCAGCATTGCTCACCCGGTGTTCCCACTAGATGTGAGAATACTACACAAGCACCGGTTATCAAACACGGTCAAGCGTTTGATGACTTCATTGCTAACTAGACAGGTCAATGATTCATATAGCAATGTTGGTGTAGTCGCAGCGTTATACACCCTACCTTCCAATGACAGGCGGATATCCCGCTGTCTCCGTAGACGGTCGAGCTCATGGGAAGCTACAAGGGCCTTGCTGATACGCGAAGTAAGCTTTACAGTGGTGTGATGACCAGAGGTGTCCGGGCTACAAAGGTAAGTGAACGGATGCACAATTTCCAGTTGATATTCGGCGATGGCAAGTAACGCAGGCGTATCCGTCCAGTCTTGCAACAATACCTTGCACTTTGAAGGTTCTTAGCACATCCCGAAGCGTGCGGCGCTACGCTTAAGTCGGTTCGGTAGTTCTTGCATAGCCATTGCGTCAGATCCAAGGAGAATTATGCTGTTCGCATATTCAAAGTTTGACAGTCGGTCACCTGGTAGAATTTCCAATCCGAAAACGTTTGAGAATACCGAATTGTTTATGATCATTTCGATCACAAAGTTGAAGCCAAATTGTCATGGGGAACTCAGGAGACAGTTTCCCGCAGACCCTTACTCGATCTGATGGGAGGGCCGCGTAAGCAATGTATGTGTTCAGCGTTGCATAGTTTGTGCAGAAAGAGAGAGTGAACCGCTCAGTACCATTATATCACGCACCAGGCTCCGATGGCTGGGCCACTTGTTGCGCATGTCAGCAAACCGACTGCCGCGACGTGCGTCGTTTGCGCGTCGAGTGTGTGAATGAAAAAGGGGTAGATCTAGCGGTGACTTGGTCGAAAGAAATGAGAACGCCCAATTCAAAGTTTGCGTCGGTCGGTCCGTCCCGACTGCCTAGCTTGGGTCCGAAGAACGATGAACGCGTTTGGTTGGGCACACTTGCTGCTATGGCGAAAAGCCGACCCCAATGACGTTTGTATTGTGAGTTTCTAGGTAGACTCACCTCCCAGTTACATTCTCCCCTCAATTACGATCGCATGCGACACGCATATAATATTTAACATAACACTACTTGCTTTTTGAATCCTTTGTAGCGTAAACTTTTTGTACCTTATCTTTATGTGTTGCGGCACATTAACTGAGGTGTGTTTTTCACTCTCAACGTGTATTGATGATGATAACCCGGCTTCCGGAGTCAGGGTAGAAATCTCAGAATGAAAAGCAATTGAGCTGGCACGCTTTTCATGGATAGGCAATGTCACAAGCTGGCACAATCAACAGATTTAAAGGCGGTGTTCAGATCAAGAGAAAACAACATATTATGCTGTCTGCAAGCAGTTCTGTTCTAACAATTGTCGAAGAGCAAATAGGTGGTTGATGCAACCACGACCAAGGGGGAAGTCAGCTTTCAGTGATTCGGTTCTCACAAGGACAAGTAAGTCGTCGAAGGATAATACTCCTGAGACTTCTGGAAGTAAAAAATGAATGCGAATGCCTCGATGATCATGAGTACGATAGTTGACAGTCACCAGTCTGAAGACATCTCCACAGCATCACAAATCGTGTTAAGTAGAGCAGACGTGCAATCAACAAAGAGTCACCCCCATCTTTCAGTAAACATGGAGGACGATCATCAAGTATAGGAGACTTGTTTCAATTCAACACGGTGAGTCTCTTTCAAAGTGGGGGTTGTGACATTCACTTTCTTCGTCGGATCAGGTGATACAGCAAACAACAATGTCACAGCAGGCATGCTGAGCTGCTCTTCAAAAAATTCCGCCTAAGGGGCTGACAATGAATTAGCTGTCCATCTTTTTCAACTACGGTCTCATTGACTGAGGGTACCCTGGGACCCGTGTTATTGATCAGCTAGAATAGCACACGGCTGCACCCAAAAGCAATGAATTTCCCATCTCACGGGCCCTTGCCATCCACCAGCGGTCCCAGTCAATTCGAAAATTCACTGTCAGTTGTTGTTTCAAGACATCATGGACATGCTGAAACTCAGTACCCAATGGAACTCGTTTCCGTTCTACGATCAAACTGATCGATGCCTCAGAGACCCATTCCCAATTCGGAAGTCTCAAGTTGGGCGCACAGCAGATCTCAAAAACAATCTTTATGGCACATATGAGACAATTGCAGTCAGCGTTGGGCTCATGAACGTCATTAAACATTGACAATTGGGGGACCAGTTGCTCATGATATTGTTGAACTGCAGACGGCGAGTTAAAATTACAAGTGAGATGCTTAGAAGCCAAACGCTTCTTTGAATCGGGAAGTGTGAGCTTTAGGCGTGCGCGCACTCGATCATAGTCAGAATTCAGGCAAGCACTCTAAATGGATCAACAGTAGTGCGAACAGTCTCGGAAGAGAGTATAAGGGTAAACAGTAAACGCATGAGTGGGAAGTCGTAATGGGCCTGAGATTCGATCGCGGATGAGCAATCCCAACAGGTTTTTGAATATCGAACACCATATAAAGGAACTGTGGGGAGCAGAGGTGGAAATTTGATGATGGTGAGTGGTCATCTACACGTTACCTGCCAACGGTATGGTCCAGCTTCGTAATGTCGACGGCACAAAGCATACAGACTGGGAGTCAGAACTTTCAGTGAAAGGAGCACTAAAAGAAATGTTCGAGGTATCACAAAATGCCAATAAATCCCAAAGACCATGAAAAAGTTGAGTGGAAGAGCAAGTCATCGGCGGAAGCCAACAGAATGGTATAACGACAAGGGAGAAGTGGGGTGGTTAAATGGTATAGGCAGAAATGCGTCACATCTGGACTCAGCCAAACAACCATCACACGCCCGGAACAGAACTGTACAGTCGTTTCATCCTTTCGGGAATCGTTAGCAGTGCGCATTTGGTCTGAACCCAGTAACGCTCGAAACAGCAACTGGGCTATTGCCAATCGGTGACGGAGACCACTGAGCTACAGGGGACGGCAACGACCTTCGTGACTAAGATAGTAGATGTGACAGTGCTTGATGAGGGGGCTATCCTGTCCTCTACACGGTAGTAACGTGAAAACCAGTGAAAAGTGAGCGGCAGTATCACACATCTAGCAACTTGATCACGACGATTGCTGCTATTCCCCGTAGCTTAGTGGTTTCAGCCACAGACTGGCAACAGTCGAGTTGCGGGTGCGAGCATCACAGGCGTCACATAGAATGCCCACTGCTGACGATTCTCGAAATGATGAAACGGTCGACCATTGCTTTTACAAGTCTTATACAAGTGAATGTGAACTCCCTGTGATAGGAACTAATAGAAATATGGGGAATGGAAATAAAGATAGCGAACTGATTTAGCAAAGACTGACCTCGTTCATATCCTCGTGCAGACCATCGAGCAAGAAAATGAGAAACTCCAGGCTGTCCTGTTGTTCCGTACCAGCGAAAGTAGGTAAGGAATTGGTGACCAGAGTCTGGAAGGGAGAAATGGTAGAGCTAAAGTGTTCTTACAGTGGATCCGTTCTTTCTAGAGGGAATAAGCTACAAAACTGTCGTTTCACCTGGCGTCAAGTAATTAACATGATGAAAAGATGATATGCATTGCGAACTATTCGCCATCCCCCAAAACTGTCTGCCTCACGTGCGCGTCACTAGATCCTATCAGTTGTAATAGCGAAATTGGGTTGAAGTACAGTGGCTGGGTGTTGCGACAGACGCGACATCGGTTACTGAAGAAAAAAAGGCCAAAATAACAAGCGTTAACGAAAACGCACTGCTATGCACGAAAGACCAGGACGTTTAAAACGAACTCTCATGCCAAGGTAGATACTTCACAAAAATCCTTCGGACCATCCTCATATTGGGTGAGGCCTGAGAAAGTGGCGGAATTCGGATCGCTTCAATGGGACGTAAATGTTGATTCTGGTGGGAAATAGTATTGCAAACCAATTGCAAACTTAGAAACACAACCCTAGAGCTAACAAGCATCAGTGGAATAGAAGTACTGTGGGATAATACATTGCGATGGCAACAGCTTTTTAAGAAATCATAGTACGGTACATGCAAATGAACGAAAATGGTTTGCCAAATCAAAATGGTTGGAAAAAAGCCCGTTCGGGTGTAACAAATGAATGAGGAGCGCTGTGAGCAGATTTCGAGATTGCTGGATCGGAGGCTTGTACTAAAGGTTAACCAGGTGTCACGAGTAAATAGTAAAAGGTTCCACGTTACCAAACACATTTAATATGGAGAGTAATGCAATGTGAAGCAGTTTGTCTAACAAATGGAATGGTGGCAACATGGTAGACTGCATCGAGCGGACAATGATTCGAAGTTGTAATTACACGGTCAAACAAGAAAACGTAAAAAGACAATTCCATGAAAAAAACATTGTGTAATAGAGGTCTCCAAGAGAGGACAACCATAAAACGGAACGTGGAACAAAGCCAGAGGGGGGGGCACTCCGAAGTTGGTGACAAGTGAGGCGATTCGGACAATCAAAGCATCCGGTGCATATAACGTGTGAAGGGTGGCTATGTAAGAGCCGCAAGTGATCGATTAGACAACAGCCAAATCTAATATTCTCTGATGAGAAAATGTCTTTGTAGTTAACATATGGGAGGCAGAAAAGAGCTAACGGCACCATCGGTTTGTGCTCGTGGAAATGCCTCCTGTTTTCAACAATAGCAAATGTTTAGAGTATGCACTGTGGTACTATTCAGCTTCCACGAAGATGGCTGAATTACGAAAATACTGATTGGAACTTTGAAAGCGTTTTGTCCAGCTACGTGGAAGCGGTTCGGTTCTGTACAGTTAGCCAACTATGATTCGTGCACCAATCTGCGGTGGATTTAGTCACCTTGGTAGGCATCCCAAAAAAATTAGTAGCAATAATACAAAAGTAATGGACAATGGTAAACACCGTCAGGTGAACGAGTTAATAGTTCGGAACGAGTGCATCAGCGTTGTTGATTACGTGATGGGTTACAACACAAGCTACCACTGAGGTGGTAAATCTCGAAGACACTAGCCAAGAAGATAACAAGTGCCAATCCGACTCCACCCTTCGGTGAGTTTCTTCATGCGCTTTTGTTAGCCAAGTTACCGAATACATCGGGGTTTCACCAAACGGCACAATATTAATAAACAGTACAAACTAGGACAATCGGTTCGTTGACAAGTGGTGCACATAACAGAAGCAATTCGAATCTTACAGATATACAAATGAGGCACAGAAGGGTCTGTCGCGAGACATGACGACGAATCCACTAGACTCTTTCACCAGCGCGTAGGTCCCGTAGAGTTGACTAGGTTAGCCCCTTAAGGTCCTCAGCACAGCGGTCAGGTCTCTGATCCACAAAAAACACCGACAACACGGCACTGTTGCAAACCGTTCCCTTTACCAACAGACCAATGTATCCCGTTTTCTTGAGTGATGTGACCGAAACAGGTGGCACAGATACCCAGGGGAATTAAACGGATTGACAACGTCCATTGGTTACTCTGTAACAGTGAGACCCGTTGGTGAGTCAACTTAATCCAGTAACAGTAATTCGCACTATGAAGGTGTAAATCAAATGCACAAGAGCGCAGTGCAACACGTTAGCCTATTCAGCAGCGTACGTATGGCTGCTAGATTCCATCCCACCTGAGCTATGTCGTGCGCATGCAATATGATTAGTAGCCGGTTACTAGAGGGAGGAGCACCAGATCAGGAGAAGCAGAAAGAAGCAAGATGAATTCATTCATAAGCCATTCAATCACAAGGTCGAAGAGATGAGAAAGCCCTGACGCATTTCCTTGTTGTGAAGAATCCAGCAGAGTTTCCGGTACACCACAAGATGAAGCAAGGAGCTGGAGATAAGATGACAAGGGGAAGTGACGGTAACTCGAGTGAAAAGATGCAGCTGATGATGCGAATATGAAACAAAACATGTGCACCAAAAACGCGGACAAATACGGTCAAAAGTTGGAAATCTCCTAAAAGGTTCCATAGCGTCGTAGTGATCCTTCAAATTGGATAATTTGGATAAGAAAAGTCATGATGATGCAGTATAACATGGGATGAGTAACGAAGTAACCGCGCAAACGGTTTCACATGTAGTGGGAAAATCAAATCGAAACTCTCATAGGCTGCATCAGGATTTTTACTTACTATTGATACTAACCGAATGAGCTAATAGCTGTGGTACGATTCCCGAAAATTCATCAGACGGTAGCATAACGAATTGAGTTAGACCTGTTACGTGTTGCCCGACAGCAGGCTCGGGAATGAAAATAATCGTGAGTTAAAGGCAGCTGCATTTCAGGAGCGGTACGATGTGACTGGAAATTCTCCTAGTCAGAGATTCGCTAGCGTATTTGTGGCTATTGAGCTACACCGCTTCGATACCATTGGATGAAGGAACAACCATGAGGAATTCTTTGGGATGGCACCAGGGGACCATCAGTATCGCAGATAGCAAAATCTTGTGTTTGAAACGTTACTATTTAGGAATGGTAAGATGGAAAACATATAGACGATTAAAATTTCGGTCAAAGCGCTGCCAGTAATATCGAAGAAACTGCGGTCCCGTCGCTTTAAACAGCATACTCTTTCTATGGTCATGGCAACTAAGTAGAATCAGAAAGGGCCGTCAAGCAACTTGAGCCATGCACTAACCTTGAGCCCGCGCAGCTCATCAAGGCAATTGGATTTTGACCACATCCCCGTGAACAGGCGCTGGAATTGTGTGGACAAAGCACCACCATAACCCAACGGGTTCTCGCTGTTGGTGAAACATGTGTCCAAGCCACGCAAAAAGAACGTCACCAAAGCGCGTGTGTGAAGCAGTGACTGTAGAGCTGCATTCATGTAGCAAGTGTTTCCAAGGTTCTGCAACCCAATGGGACGAAGGTGACACGATGGCAGAGGCAAAGTTGATTCGTCTGGAGCAAAGGCAGAGGTGAAGTGCAATTACATTAAACGTTTATGGAGACGAACGAATTTAGCAAATGATTGAAGATAAGCGTAAGGGAAGATAAAATAGGTGCAGCGTTGGGGTTGAAACTGATTAGTCGCATAGTACAAGAGTCAAAATCCGAAGTGAGAGGACACAACGAACAGCTGCTCCAAAATAGAAAGTGTATGTGTGTGTGACCCGCTACACAAGTGTCATAACAGAAAGCCAAGATGCTAGATTTTTCGAGAACGTTCGCTACACATAAGTGCACGGCAGCAATAGGAAAAATGTGGACCAACTACAAGGATAGAGATGGTTGGTAAAAACGTACAGAGCAGTGAACATCGAACCTGAGACACAGCAGAGATGAGAGTGAAGTGATGTCATGTCTTCTAGTGTGACCGTAGAGAACGCGGATTACCCTGCAACCAGCGAGTGAGATGCCCCCCAAGTCGAATTCCTCACATCAAGTGGTTTTCAGCCTACAAGGAGCGTTTACAGACGAGGTTAACCGGAAAACTGTGTTAACCCTTTAGAACGGTAGTGTGAAGTTGCACAAAATGAGTTGTCAATGGAAAAACAGAACCCCGATAGCAAACGATATAAAATATAATGCTGGTATTTGATAGGGGTGTCGGTCGGTGGCCGAGTGGTCTGCACGTTTGCTTTGCAACCATAAGGTCACCGGTTCGAATCCGCGCAGGGGTGAGCGTCCTCGCGGTATATTCAGCCCGCGCGCGACTGATGGTGGTCGCGCGGCAGCGAAGCGCCGTTACGGCGTACAGCTGACACATTACTATTTATTTATTATTATTTGATAGGGGTGTTTCACTATCATCTGACAATGAGTAGGAAAAGAATCGTGACCGAGTATGACCCGCCTAAAAAATGAAAGCAATCAAAGAGATAGTCTTGATTTCTCAGCAATCGTAGGAACGTACAGAAGCAAACCCTAGCTATCGATCGAAGATCATGAGAAATCTGGAAGGTGCAGATTTCGCGGTAGTAACTGGTAGTACCAATACTGCGGTCGATAGAATAGACAGTAGCAAAAAACAAAGCTCGGCTAGCGCCACTGTTAAATGCGTCGCACCCAGACTGCCATTCATGAGAGTCTAGACAACCAGCGACAGCTGGGAACAACGCCCACTCCAGTCTGAGCTTCGATTGCTGCAATGATATCTACGGACGCGTGTAACCACTATAAAAAGGATAAGCCAGACGTAGTTGTCTCGAAAACGATGGGAGAATAACGAATGCTAACTTCGGAGACACAGTGCATCGTAACACATAATGTATCTAATGTGGGTAAAAGTACAATCCGTTGATTTGTTTCAACATGAAGAAATTAAACATGGACAAATATACAGGGTAGCGTGACCCGAATAGGAGTTTTCGATGGTAGAAAACCAATTGGTACAATGGGGATATAGCTGCATATGGCAAAGATCCGGTAGCGCTGCACCTGAGGTGAATTACAGAGGAAACCATAGAATGTAGGTTGGTAATGAAGATCAAGAGGGGTGTGGAAGAGAGAGGCAGGAAAGAGTGGATACATCACCAGTAGTCACTTTTCACTTATCAGTCCAGCTGAGTAGCGGATTATATAAGGCTGTTGAAACTATTGAAAAGCAAATGAAAACATCTTTGCTGAACGTGGGTCGGGCTACCACAGGTAAGAAAGTAATAAGGGTCCCAATAAAAACCTTGAGTTGAAAGACCGCTCATGAGGCAGCGGGAATATAGCAAATTCTAGAGACATTAATGCCTTCCAGCTTCCAGCACCCAACCCGGAAGGAGAGGAGAGTAAAGTTGTCTAATGTCTAACCACTGATCACTCTGGAAGGAATGGATTACAGGGAGCCAAAGATCATCAACTAGTATGGTTCAACGGACCGAAGAGGTGCGCGACACCACAATGCGTGAAGGTCCGGACAAAAAGAGGAGAGGCGAGCATGTCATGAGAGGTTCAAAGGACAGGAAGAAATTCAAGGCAGAACGAAAAGTGGAAGTGGCCAAAATCTGCGGGTGAAACTTACTCGCATTTGTTACAGATGAAAGAATGTTTTCTAGAGGCAAAACAGTCAATTCGGCAGGCGTAATGGTGGGCAAGTCTGTGGAAGCGAGCTGAAGAGTGCAAAGATAGGGAGAAATAACAATGAAAGATTAGGAGATAGAAAAAGGAAAGGGACCTCAATTTTGCATTGTTACAAACAGTATTGATTTCAACTATCTCAGTGTTGATCGAGAAAGAACTGCTGAGAATAGGTGGGAAGAATCAATCAGTAAACCCCCGTTTGCAAAAAGGTGCAAAACAGAACTACGGCAAAGATCAGAAGCAAAAGTACAGATAAAAGAGGTGAAAAGGCAAGTGGCCCTGTCGATCGACGGATCACTCAAGCATATGCCAAGTTGGAGAGAAATCAAAAAAGGACTGTGAAAACAAGTGATAGAGTAAGAATTATGCTTTACGGAAAAGCTCTCTAGCTACTCCCTTTAAGTTCAGATCTGTTGAACAACTATAATCTGAGCACTGAAGTGCGGTGGATCCAGTTGCCATGACTCACATCGCAAGAAGAACAATACATAGGAACGGCAAGATAATGGCGTTGAGTGCAAATAGAATGTAAAGATAATGAAAAAAGATAAAAGTGCGTTAAACTAATCAGAATGGAGTTCACGAAGTCTGTGACAGTAAAATGGTAAAATCAGCACTGCTTGTATCAGACATCAATCAAGGGAAAAACATTTTAGTGGATAAGAATGAAAAAGTAGGTAAATGGTGAGGGAATCATGGGTGGCACAACAATCAAGCGACTGTGGAAAGAAAAGGCCATACAAATGATAAATTTGTAATCGTAAGAAAACCGCCTTAATTCTCACAAAAAGTGGAACAAAAACGGGGGTGGAACGGAACCCGGGTTCACGTGCTTGTCACGGGTAGATATCAGAGAAATGATATAGAAGTGTAAAGTTGGTAACTCAGGTTGTTCATTTGTTAAATGAACTGTTTTCTGAGCGGCTTCTATACACTAACCACAAGTTGCTCTACATGTTTGGTTCCAATACGGTGGAAAAAAGGTCAGACATGAGTAAGCAGCTATAAAAAATACTCCGTAATAACGGAACTGGAAACAAAACAAGTCAGTGTATTGGTGTTTGCATTACAAGTAATGTGCAGTAAGAAGAGATCGCCTTTCGCTGAATGCTACCTTATGCATCCAGACACATCTCACATACCGGGTCTCGCAGAGTTTGGGATTTTAAGCCAAATTTGAACTAAGAACTGTGAAGGAAACATAAAGAGCGTTTGAGGACAAGCGCTAGTTACAACAGCATGAAACGTATGCAACAGAGTAGGAAATGACCAAGGTCCACTCAGTAAAAATGGCCCTGCAAAACTTTACAACAAAAACAGCGGTACCAGGATGTAACCACGCACCCGATCGAAAGTAAGGCAATCGTCATTAGCAGAAGTAAGTATTCACTCTGATCGTAAAAAATGGACAATGTACGACAGAAGCACATGTTAAGGACTAACCTGTTCCTTTTTCTTGTGGTTGACATCCATCGGGTACACCTCGCCACCATTTGCAACAGGAGGTGAAGTAGAATGGAACTCATCTGTTGGCATATCTAGGCTAAAATAGGAAAAAATGTAAAATAAATGAAGCCATACAATATAATAAGGGTGAGTATTAAGCTTACAGCACGATGTGATCAAGAACCACGACCGACCTGTGGCATTTTCTGTGTGTTGGGAAGGCGTCGCTGGTTTCGCTGGAATGATCGGATGGTCCGCCCGTGATGCCATCTTTGGAACGCGTATCCAAGGGTACTTTGGAGGGCTTTGAAACTCGATCGATCTGGAAAGGTGATTTGTGAGAAGCACTGCATTGTGTTATAGTGGAGACGATGCGAAATCAGTAAAACCCATGAAACCCAATGCGGCCTGGCACTAACGCATACACGCAAAACAAAAACGAAGAATGGAAAGATAACGAGCAAAAGCAACAGACCAAATGGCCCCGTAATTGCAATCACTTAATCTGTCTGTGAGGAGAGGATTATCGACGACGGAGACTATCTGAATGGATCTACCGCACCGCGATTCCAGCTGTTCACCCCGACAGAATACTTTCATCACGCAAAGTAAGTAATGCAATTGTCCCCATAGGAGAACCACCAACCAATTCAAGTTAGTAATAACTTGCAGTAAGGCAACTAACTAGCAGATAATAACATACCGAAGGACGAAACACTCTAAGACGGCTATGCTATCTGCGTTCCCGAAGCGTGTGATGATTCCAGTCCCCAATGGCAGAGTTAAGAGCCACACATGTAGCTGATAAGTCAACAGCATACCGGTTCCACAGGTAAGTGTTGCTATGTAAAGTTCCACGGACACCACTGGTGAGGGCAGTAATCCCATTAAGGAGGCGACCGTCCAACTTCAGAGTCCGTCTGGTGACAGGGATAACCGGCGGTGTGTAGGTTCAAACCTGCAGGTACGTTGCGCATGACGCAGCTACGAGTGTTCCATGCAAGTACACCTGCAGAGAATGTGTGTAGTCAATGGAGATCATGTATTCCCATTATTCCAGAGTTGACCGCCAGAAACCAAGTGGGTCTTTTAATTCAGACAGTAAAGGCGGCAGAATTAGTTAGGATCAGTTCGTTCACAAAGCAGAAGGGGAAAAAGCAGTACAATGTACCACAACTATCGTGCTGAATTAAGGAGGATCTATTAGGTAGCCGCAAAGGAGAAACGCCGCGACACGGTTTGGGGACACGAGTTGGGTCTACGTTTGATCTCGCAGGAAGCCGACTGAGTCAGTTAGTCATCCACGACACAAGTTGCTGCGCAATCCAGGGGAGCTGACGGAAGCAAGTTTTCATTGCGGCGCGGGTTGCTATGATGCGAAGGTGGACGTGACTACAGCCAGATAGTAGAGACCACAAGCGTGTTTGAACCTGTCTAGACAAGTGAGGTCAATCAGCCCAACAACGCACAGGTGGAAATGAGCGCATGTGACCTATAAGGTTAACCGCGATCTGGCACTAATACACTGCAGTCTAGCAGGTCTCGTCTTCTGTTTTAGCACCAGTTGGGTTGGCGGCGCCCAAGTCAGAGAGCAGAGGCATGGCAGCGATACAACAGGATTATCATGTGGACCCCCACAAAATCATGAGCCACTTATATGGATTTTAGCATAAAGAAAGTTTGGAGGCACACAGCCATAGGATAGGTAAAAGGAAGGTAAAGGATAGGCGGCAGCACAAAGGATCGGCATCAAATAATCCAAAGACTGATTCCATACCCCACCATCATCATCAATAGCAGTAGATCAGCCAGTTGAACTGATTCTCAGCTGTCAGACAACCATAACGACTTACGGAACGAAGGACAATAAGAGGGAGAGAAGAAGAATTTACATGAAAACTTAATGCCCTAAGAAAACAGCCAGGACCAAGGCGCCTACACCTTGTAAAAAACTTGCCATCACAAACAGCTGGCTATCATGCAGAAATAAGGCATCATCATCATCATCATTACACGTTAGCTGGAGGTGGAGAACACCTCAGCTATTGTGCCGCAATACAAAGAACAAGAAAAGGAAAACAAACAATGGCACGCCCGCTGAGTCCCCAGTAACGGATGGACATCGTTCCGGAGAGCTAACAGCTGGCTGCCGTAAAAGAGAGTCATATTATGCCTAACAAGTGAGATCGTGATTGGAGGGGGATGGACAAAGGAACTCACAACACAAACGCCATTGGGGCCGGCTCCAAGCCATATCAGCGAGTGTGTCCAACCAAACGTGTTCATCGTCCTTAGGACCCCAGCCAGGCAGTCGGGATGCACCAACGGACGCCAACTTCGAGGTGAGGGTTTTCATTTCTCTCGATCAAGTCATCACTTGGCCTCCCATCCTCCTCTTCCAACCGCACCCACAACGCGCAAACAATGCACGTCGCGGGAGTCGGTGTGCTGGCATGCGCAACACGTGGCCCATCCATCGGAGCCTGGTGCGTGATATAATGGTGCTGAGCGGTTCACTCGCTCTTCCTGCACCAAATACGCGACGTCGAACACGCTCATTGCACACGCGGTGCTTTCACCAGACATGAGCTAAGCTGCGAAGGCAGCGATGATCGCATGTGATGGGCCTCTTTATGTCTGTCGACCTAATGGGCCAGGTTTCACAGCCATATAGGAGAGTTGAACGGACGGCTGCGTTGTAAACTCTGCCCTTCAGGGCGTGAGTAATGTCGCGTCTGCGCCACAGGTGGCGGAGATTAGCAAAAGCACCTCGAGCTTTTGCTATACGGTTCGTAACCTCATCTTCAATCCCACGGGTGCTAATATAGCTGCCCAGGTACTGCAATTCCCGAACGACATTTAGCAGATCACCACCAAGCGTTAGCGCAGTGGTGGGTCCCTGCCAATCTTGCAGAAGTACTTTGCATTTCGATGAAGCAAAGCATAGCCCAAAACGATTGACAACCAGTGCTAATCGGTCCAGTGCTGCTTGGCATGTTTGGGAGCTGTCACAGATTAGGGCAATATCGTCCACATACTCCAAGTCAAGATGTCGCTCACCAGGAAGTAGCTCCACACCTTCTAGGTCGTGTCCAGCGAACGCTGTTTCTATGACTTCATCAATAGCGAAGTTGAAGAGGAAAGGTGACAGCGGGCAACTTTGTCTCACACCGCTGGTGATACTGAAGTGTGGCGACAGTTTGCCATAAACCCTCACTCTGCCCGAGCTATGCGCGTACAGCGCTTTGGTAATGTTTACATATATATCAGGCACAGCTTTCCTCAGCAGACAGTCCCAAAGGGAACATCGATCGACTGAGTAGAAGTCACCTATGATGTCAAGAAACACGACAACGGTGGGTCGCCAATAAACCTGGCGGTGCTCCAACACTTGACGCAAGGTGAAGATGTGGTCGATGCAGCCCCGACCTCGACGAAATCCGGCTTGCTCTTCACGAATCTGACTTTCACGAGTGCCAGTCAGTCTGTGGAGAATGATAGAGGCAAGCAATTGAGAGGCAGTTGAGATCACACTGATCCCTCTATGATTGCCGCATTCCAAACGGGAGTTTCCTTTGAAAATTGGGACAATGACGGAGCGGTTCCAGTCTGTCGGAACTTTCTCCTGCTCCCAAAGTTTTACAAGCAACTCGTGTAAATCATCTACTAGAGCAGGTCCCCCGAATTTGAAGAGGGCTGGGGAATTCTATCTGCCCCTGCGTCCAGATGTAATTTCAACAGCCTGATCTCAAGTTCGACTTCTGCGCGTGAGGGCGGATCCAAGGAGACGGTCCAGGGAGAAGGGCGCTGAATGCCCGAAGAAGAAAGCGATAACTCAGGTTGGTTAAATTGTCTTGCAAAGTGTTCAGCCCAACGCTCCAAGCGTTTTGACAGGCTGTGGATCAGCTGCCCACTCTCGTCGCGTATGATCTCGCTAACACCAGGTTTCCTGCTGCCTGTGTCCCGTATCGGACGGAATAACTTACGAAGATTACCAACGGCAGCGGAGGTTTCCATCTCAGAGGCACGATGAGACCACCAGGTTTCGCGGTCCTTCTTCAGGCTAGCACGCAGTTTTGCCCTGAGATTTTTACGAGCCTCATTGTATTCGCTTCCAGCCGGAATACGTCGGCGAGCATCCATAAATTCCAGAGACTTTGTAGAGACCCAATGTCCAGGTTGGCAATTTGATTTGCCACATGAAGACATACCTGCTAACAGCAACGCTTGACGAATATGCGACTAGTGATCTTCAACGATGTTTAGTGGGCGCTTACTCAGCCCAGATGTCAGCGCACTTTGATACACATTCAGAACATCTGGCTTCGCCAGCTGGCTAGTGTCAATCCGTTCACATCAACGTTGCGGACGTTCACCGAAACGCACCAGGAGGTCGGCACAGACAAGTGCGTGGTCAGAGTCCACGCTCGTGCTCCAAATCGAGCGACAGTTTTGGACACAGCCTCTCCAGCGGTAACTGATCGCGATATGATCGATTTGCGTCCATGGCTGGCCCGAAGCTGGTGGGCGCCATGTCACGCTTCTGCGGGTGCTGTGTCGAAAGTTAGTGCTCGCGAGAAAGAGGCAAGCATCTTCACACAGCTGGAGCAATCGCTCACCAATATCATTAAGGGAGCCTACACCATGGCCGCATCGATGAAGCTCATCAGAGGACAGCTTTCCGACTTGGGCGTTTAGATCGCCAGACAACACCACATTATCCGTGCATCTTCTGTAACGAAGGAGCTCGTGAAGTTGCTGATAGAAATCATCTCTCACCGAATCAGTGCTATAGTTTGTAGGGGCGTAGGCCGCAATGACAAACAGGCACCGTTTGTCCCCGCGCGACTTCGTAGCACGGAACGAACCAGCTAATCTAACGGCGCACATCCTACTGTTTACTGGGATCCAAGCAATCAGGGCAGCTTCAGCCCGGGGACTCAAAACAATGCCGACGCCAGCTTGACCGGCATTTGAAGCTGCATCATCGCCAGACAGGCGCAATGAGAATGTGCCACCAGTGTCGCATGTGGGGGATCTCAGGGTAAGCACGGAGCTCGAACCTTGCAGGCGGGTTTCTGATAAACAGCAAATATCGATCGATAGGGTCTCTAGTGTGCGGGCAAGTGCTGCCTGTTGGTCAATGTGCAGCAAAGTGCGCACGTTGAGGCATGCCAGTCTTAGCCAGATTCGAGGACTCCAAAGGGAAACAGATGAACTGACGTTGTCCGCTTGGTTGAACATGGACTTGTTGACTGAATTGGAGCGAGACCCTGCGATTGTCTGTGATTTGAAATTGGAAGCCAAGCGACTATTGAAGTA